CGCGGGATTCCTCGGATTGACTCGTATCTCTCAGAATGTCAAGGTTCTCCCTCGTCTCATCAGCCAGGTCGGGCCCGAGGTTCTCCTTCATCAGCTGACACATAAGGGCCTCGTACATGAGTCGCAAGCAGCGTAGCCCCCTCTTATAATGTTTGCCTTTCAGTGCACGATCGACGGAGCCATCGGCAATAACTCCAGCCGCGACAAGTACTTCACCTAGTTCACTACCTTTGTACCGCTTGTAGATGGCACTCATCATCACACACTGTGTATGGAAGGGACCAAGAAAAGGTACAATGGCACTGAATTTGCTTGGGTTTTCGGCCTTGAGCAGGGTGATGAGGACATACACGGGATGATCTCCAACTAAGAAGGCAAAGGGCATGTGCTTAGTTGCGATGATGGTAACCAGCTTGTCCATGACGTCCTTCACAACTGACTTGTCGGGCGGTTGATTGTAAGATGTATGAAAATAAGCCTTGCTTTTGTCCTGCCACATATTCAATCCAGCGTGAAACCCGTTGTACGAAGGGATATTCTGTTCGGCTGCAACAGGGCGGTCACCATTCACATCAGCACGTGCAAGGGCATGAATAATGCTTCGCTGGCGCTGAGGCTCAGTACTCGATGAGACAGTAGTAGGCTTAGGACGGATCGGAGGCTCGCCACGCTTGACGGTCCTATATGGCATAACCGTTTGCATCTCAGAGGCCTTCTCAGTCAGCACGTCCGAGACAGTCTTGGCATGTTTGATCCGCGGTTGCTCATCCTGGGTGTTTGCCTCATGCTTATGTACAAGACGTTCTTCGCGTTGCAGAAACATCCAATTACAGCGGTGTGAAGTACCTCCTCCTGTCAATGTATCGTTCCGAAAATCGTCATTGTCGATGATACTGATGCTTGGTTCCCCTTCAGCGATCTCTGCCGGACAGACCGAGCACCGCTCAAGGTCATGCATTGTCCAAACATCACGTAGCAGAAGCACGTTCGGGTAACTGATCCCCATGCCCAGCTTGTAGTACGAATCAACAAGCTCCTTGCTACGAGTCAATCCGTGAAGGGTGACGGTGGCATTGATGGCGGTAGTGGTGGGTCGCTTTATAATGTACTGTGTGATGAGAGAGGTGAGAGAAAGTGTGCTTGGAGACAGATCTACCCCATGCTTCCCCTGCAAAGCCGATAGCAACTGCAAAACGAGAGGCGGGAGTTCCTCCTCCTCCTCTAGCTCCTCGACTCGTGGAGGCCATGGGACGAGTTTGATGGACTTGACATCATCTCTGAGCCGCGCAGCCACATTTTGCACCAGTTGCTCACTGCTGACACCAATAGAGGAGATCGCTGCTTCGACATATGAACCGCTCCCAGACGTGTCATAGACTAGGTCGCTCTGGTTTCTCTGAGGGCGAGAGTGGAAGCCGATCTTGTCCTTAAACTCCCGGGTCAGGATATCTTTGATGTAGGATGACTTGACTCCAGATGTTGGGAATCCATACCGAGAAACGATAGAGCTGTAATCTCTGAGGAGGCTCTGCAGTGACCTTAGTTCATGTTCATCAAAGATAACTGTTCTGATGTTATCAAAGAAAATTGTCTGAGCTTCACGGAGAGTGACATTGTGCATGTGGGGAAGTTTGTCATCTTCACTCATTCTCTGGTAGTTACGAACATATTTAAACCAGCATTTGTGATGATATCTGATCTCAAGTGCATACGGCTGATCAGCTGCATAATTGATCAGACAGTTGATTCTGTCGCGCATTAGTTCATCTTCCAGAGCCACCGTATGGCTCTTGAACGCTGCCCATGCATGATCGTACGAAATCAGGACCAACTTTGATTCTGGATGTTTTGCCGACTCCGTCTTACAACACCACACACATTTATTTTTATCGTGTATCAGCCCTAGACTAGATCGCAGCCGCTTGAAAGATGGAGTTGCAGCTGTGGAACTAATGTCAGACGTAGACGAAGACTGAGCTTGGAATTCATCGACAACTCGTTTTTTCTGTCTGTTGTTGGCCTGTTCCAGTTTTGTGGCATTGCATAAGGTCAACCTACATGTATCATGGACACAGTGTCCGACGGGACCTGTATCCCAGTCGATGGATGTATGGACGTCTCCGAACTTGTCAAGACCGCTCCATAACTCTGTATTGTTCTTTAGAGTGTCCCATTTTTCAATTGAGGTAATGGCATCGGTGGCTTTGCTGCAAACCCTTCCACACTGCAGGATACACGGAATGTTGGACATTGTCACAAGCTATGATCCATATCGTGCGGCATACTCATGAATCCCTATAAGAAACACAAGTAGGCCTACGTATTAGATATTGATATGGGGGCAGATAAGAAATTAAGAATAATTTCCATTTGTTAAATGTAGCTATTATTTAGTTAGTAAGCATTTGGACAGCCTGACAGGTCTGATTCAACTAATCAAGAGCTATGACTATCTTATTAGAACAGTTGAATCAGGTGTGTTAGTTCTGGGTTGGAACGAAAACATTCAACAGGACTGGAGTTGAGAACCACTGAGCTAGTTAGCTAACGTTAGCGCACATTATGACAGGGTTGAATTTGGCAAATTTTTGACTCGGATAGTCAATCTGCTTTCTGAGGTAAACTTAACGTGTAGCTCGCTACACCAAAACTAACATTGTTATTATTACTAATATTTCTATTTCATGACACAACAAAAATAGCCTTATGACAGTTTCTACTGAATGGTAATAACAAACGCTGGCTAGCTAACGTTGGCTTGGCTAACTAGCAAGATTACATGATCCATTCGCTAATGTTGACAATACAATCAAAATGGCATAGCCTACCTTTCAACTTGGCACGTTTCTCTTCTTCTTCTTTTCTTCTGTTTTTATACTGCGCCCCGATGGCTTTTGCCTCTTCACAGTTCTCTAACGTTAGTCTTTCTTTCCTCAACGCTCAATTTTAAAAACACTTGACAGATACCCATCAATGCACAGCGCTCTAGCATGTTCTGACTGTGAACACTTAAAGCTGAGGCTCTTAGACCGACCGACCATTTTAGATTTTTGGCTCATTTTCCCTTATGTTAGATTATTTATTTATTTTTTTAAATAATGGTTGCAGATATAGAGCCAAAACTGCGCCAAGCAAACGTTTTTTTTATTTATTTGTGGCGCCCCCCTCTGGGTGGCGCTCTAGGCAAACGCCTATATCGCCTGTAGGAAGCTCCGCCCCCATATATAGTACATATATATACTTCAGTTTATAACAGTGAGTGCTTGTTCTACTGCCGTGACCGGTACCTCGTGATCCTGCATGTTCCCGTTCAAAACGTGTATATTTTCTCGACCGGATGGTGGCCATCTTGGATTTGTGGGTCCGAACGATGTCATCGCACCAAACTGATGTCAGAAATTGAATCCTTGTGGCCGACTTACCTCAAAAAGTGCATTTACACATGACTCTAGGCGCTCTGGTTCAAAAGTTAATTTTTTAAGATGGCGCGAGCAGCCATCTTGGATTTGGCCCTCTAGCAAAAATTGCCGGGATTTTTGGGAGGGACCTTGGATCTATATTTTTTATAAAAGGTCCAATGTTGTCAAATCAAGTGTCAAAACATCTTAGCAGAAGAATGGTCACGGAATTGAGGTTCTAGACCCAACTATTAGTAAGACAAATCAAAAGTATGCGAAAACGGCCAAATTAGCCCTGGACTCCAAAGGGTTAAGAATGGCTAATTCAAACTGGTGTGTATTTTTGATAGGGCAGGGCAGCTTTGACCAACACCTCCAATCTCGTCTCATTGATTGGACTCCAGGTTGGCTGACTCCTGACTCCAATTAGCTCTTGAAGAAGTCTTTAGCCTAGGGGTTCATATACTTTTTCCACCCTGCACTGTGAATGTTTACATGGTGTGTTCAATAAAAACATGAAAACATATCATTGTTTGTGTGATATTAGTTAAGCAGACTGTGTTTGTCTATTGTTGTGACTTAGATGAAGATCAGAACACATTTTATGACCAACTTATGCAGAAATCCAGGTCATTCCAAAGGGTTCACATACTTTTTCTTGCAACTGTATGTGTTAAAGTATAGCCAATAGAAGCGCAATTGTTACATTGTGATGTTACTATTAGGGCTGCTCAATTAATCGTATTTTAATCGCAATTACGATTTTGGCTTGCAACGATTATGAAAACAACGTAATCGAAATAAAACGATTTAAAAAAAAAAAAAAATGTTATTGCTTTTTCAGTTGAATTATACTTGAAGTTCAGGGTAATCAACTGTTAAAAACATACTGTTAACATATTTTTTTTTTCAATAAATGGACGTTTTCAAAGTCAATGGATAATCGTTTTTTATAATCGTGATATCAATTATTGACCCAAATAATCGAGATTATCATTTTTGCCATAATCGAGCAGCAGTTACGGAAGTAAATGAAGGAGTCCAATGGAGGCGTAAAAAACACACTACAGGGAAGGGGAATCCCAAGAAAGCAAATTAGAGCCAAATAACTATTTGAATCCAGGACTTTTGTAATGTAGTATTTTAGTGACCTTATAGTATTTTTTGACCACTCATTATTTCATTAGTTTCCTTTGCTTTGTACTGACAGTGTTGGTTGATTTTGTGCTATAAGGTTTGATAAATCTATACCATCACAGACAGTGATGTTATTACTGGATTATGGGAGTATGTTCTCCTTAAATCATTTATTATCAGCATGTAGAGGGCAGAAAGGAGAACTATAAAAAGGGTGCAAGTGACTCGGTATGTGGAACACAACTTCAGGAAGGGCGAAGAAGGGTCATTTTGAAGACCAACATGCTGGTGTGCTTTGTGTCTGCATTAGCAGTCTGCTACTCAGGCAGAATGTTAGCTCTGACCTGGATGTGTGTGTGTGTGTGTGTGTGTGTGTGTGTGTGTGTGTGTGTGTGTGTGTGTGTGTGTGTGTGTGTGTGTGTGTGTGTGTGTGTGTGTGTGTGTGTGTGTGTGTGTGTTCCCCAGCTGTGCAGCAGAGATTACAGATGGCTCTCAGTACTTTGTGCTGCTGATGATCACAGATGGAGTGATATCTGACATGGTCCAGACCAAAGAGGCTGTGGTCAATGTGAGTAAATGGACACACACACACACGCACACGCACACACACACACACACACACACACACACACACACACACACACACACACACACACACACACTCCCTCACACATACACATAACAGAGACTGATGGATAGCAATGCTATCAGTGTCTCCTGATACTGATGTTTGGATACAAATACGTTGTCATGTCCCAGCACTTTGTACTTCAGAAAAACAGTAGAAATAAAACTTAAATTCTCTCTTGAAGAATGACACCAGGGAAAGGAAACTTTTGTTGTTGCTTTAATCATAATTGATCTTACTTTTGTAGTGAGATCTATAGTAGTTGTTTATAATGTCAAATTAGAGTTTGAGAGGAGTCTGATCTAATTAGGTCACTTCTGAGTGATGTGTTCTTGTCATGCAGACATATTAAAAGTAAATAATTGTTTTTTTCTATGTCCCAATAGCTTTTTCATCCTAATAATGATACAATTATTTTTATCTTTTTTCTTTTCTCCATTTGCACAACTTTTGATTTTGTGTCATGTAGAGTTACGGCTTGGAAAATAAAAGGAGTTGTTGGTTTAGGCTCAGGTAATAGCCTCCCCTTTAGATTTAAAAACACATTTGAATCAACACAATGCTTACTACAGTATACCAGAATAATGTAGCTCTGTAGAAAGAGGATTCACCTGAAGCTTATGCATTAATATTATCTAAGGGTATTATTAATGAACTGGTGGTCTTTCTTCTGTCTCCTGCGCAGGCCTCATCACTCCCCCTGTCCATAATCATCGTAGGTGTTGGACCTGCTGAGTTTGATGGTGAGTGTTTTGCTTTCGGAGCAGGTCTATAATTCTTCATGTCATCATGAGCAATCTTGAGGAGTCATTTAATCTTCAGAAGACCAAACGTTTAGTCAGTGTCACAGTCATGAAGTGGAGAGGACCTAAAACCAATTCAGCTATATTTGGAATGAACAGGGGAAAACCCCAAAAAGTTTGATCTGATTGGTCTTAAATCTTGAAATCTAACATCTTGTATCGATATTCAAAGTCAGGATTTTTTTCAAAAATAAGAAAAGCATTGTGTATAAGATGCCACACTGCCCCATACCACCCGCAAACACAAAACTTTGTTTTCTGTCACGATAGCTTCTCTCCACTACTTTTATCATTGGGTTTCACCAAAGGCGGACCATAGAGACAGAATTCAAATATGTGGATGTAAGCTTCAAGCTTCAGCTCCATTAGAATTCAAATATAATATAATAATTATAAAGAAAATAATAATAATAATAAAAGTTGCTCTTTTTTAACATTAGGCTGAAAAATGTGCATGCAAATTAAAATAAGATTGGCCGCTAGGCTAATTTATGCATTGTAAAATGCCATAGGCCTTAAGCTAATAAGCTTAAATAAACAGATTCCCCCATAAATGTTCCTCACAATCATCAAACTGTAATGCAATTATTAGACCATGTCACAGATTATTAAAAAAAAACTACTTTGATCTCACCCTAAGCAACCCGAGAGCTGTTTTTAAACATACATATAATTTAAACCAATCCAAAATCTTTGTGCAGTGATTGGACATTGCTGGATGACTTTTACATGCTCTTTTTAACCCCTCCCAAAGGAAATAGGTTACAAGCCGAAAACTTCTGTTTCCCCAACTACATGTCAATGAAGAGTTTCTCAAAGTCTTTACCGTGGCTTGACTTTTACCTAAATATTTTCTGTTCGACAGTAGTGACCGAAAATGCTAATTGTTTGTGGAAAAAATTGCCACACACATCAAGAAAGCTAATAAATACCTGTGTATGTGTGACCATTGCACTATTGCTTGCGTTAGGAGCACTAAGTTGCCCAAAGCCAAGGGCCTTATCGTGCTCAGGCGCTGCTTCAAACACTTCTCTGAGCAGGCTTTCCTACACGATCTGGCGGAGGTTAAATGGCACTTCATAGCGTTAATTCTATCTGTCGATGTTGCTGTCCAATTCTTTATTGATCACTTTTTATCGATTATTAATAGACATGCCCCCCATAGAAAATTCAGAGTTAAGAATAGGAACACTCCATGGTTTACTAGAGAACTATCTGATCTCAGTCATGATCGAAATAAGCAATGTTCCTTAGCCTAACACTAGTGATGACTGGCTTCTTTTTCGTGTCCTCAGAAATAAATGTTCAGTCCTTATTAAAAAAGCTAAAGCTGATTACTATCTGAGCTTAACCACTGATTGTTTTAATGACCATTCTAAGTTCTGGAAAACAATTAAATCACTTCAGAACAAGAAGGTTTCTAGTTTCCCACAAAAACTGAAGGTCAGTGATTCTTTTATTTCAGATTCAGATGGTATGGCTAATGCTTTCAATGCTCACTTCAAAAAGGCTGGTCACATTTTTGATGAGCAAAGTCATGACTCTCTAAATGGTCGTACTCACAGCCCTAGTCAAGAGATGAACTCCCCTGTTTTTCATTTAGCTTCTTTCTCGGTCTCTGAAGTCTTACAGGGTTTGCACTCAATTGACCCTAAAAAGTCTGACGGCCTCGACCCGTTCTTTTAAAAAATTGCAGCTCGGATTATAGTACAACCAGTTACTGATATTTGTAATCTCTCCCTGTCCACTCACACACTGCCAGCTGCGTGGAAGCAAGCTCTGTTATCGCCCCTCTTGAAAGCTGGTGATCCCACGGAGTTGAATAACTATCGACCCATCTCAAATCTTTCTGTGTTATCATAGATTCTTGAGTCCCTAGTTTCTACTCAGCTAAAGCTCTTTTTAAATTCACACAACATCCTTAACCCTTTGCAATCTGGATTCAGATCAAAGAACAGTACTGTGACTGCCAGTCTGAAAGTCTCAGACGATATTAAGGCTGCTTTGGATAAGAAATCTGTTTGTGTTGCATTGTTTATTGACCTAGCCAAAGCATTTTTTACACTGTAAATCACCACATTCTGTCTAATGTTATGTTGGTGTCTCGTTTCGGTCATAATGCCTGTTAGTGCAATTAATGGCTCACCAACTTGAAATGTTAACACAGAAAGAGAGATCAATAAAACACAAACACAGATATGGTTGGGATTAATTATGATTCAGTTGTGCAACAACAAATGATATTGGGGGACATCACCTTCTGCCACAGCAGCCAATCGTGGAAAATGCCAGATCTTGTGCGCTTTATACACGTAAAACACACACGAACATACACTTGAAACATACGTGGCAGAGATAGTTGATATGTTAATATGTTCCAGCAGTGGAAAGGTCATTATCTCATGACGTCTTTAGGAGTCTTGCAGGATATGAATGATCCAATTAACAAACTATATATACGTTTGCACATGACCACACATACATTTTCCTTACATTAGCCAACACACCAACATCCTTATCGTTTCTTAGCTAATGCATGCTGGATATGAACCACTAACTAACAAGACTGTAACTGTATTATATCTGAGGAAGACCTCCCTTGGACTTCCTCTGGCCTTGGCCAATTTACTTACCGTGGGTACATCTTCTAATAATTGCGGAAGAGACGATAAGCCTCTCTAAATCTGGAAACTGTAATTCAATAACATACAGTTATATTGAGAAGGTCCCAGCCTGGCATAACATGCCATTTGCTGGTTTCAGAGTTATCTAACCGACCAAACTCCATGCGTCAGGTTGGGCAGTACTGTCTCTGACCCTGTCACCTTGGAGAAGGGAGTTCCATAGGGCTCTATTGCTCTTTTTATTATATGTAAACAATATTTATAATCGGATGCCATTTTCTACCTATCATATGTATGCTGATGACACTATTGTATACTCATGTGCTCCTTCTTTCGATATGGCCGTTTCCAAATTGAAATCAGATTGTATCACGCTGCAGCATGCACTTCTTGATTCCAAACTGCTATTGAACAGTAAGAAAACCAAAGCAATGCTTTTTGCTCCCAAGTCAGCGTCCTCTTGCCTCTCCATTGACACCCTTGATGACTCTGTTGAGTTTGTCGATACCTACAAATATCTTGGCTTTTGGTTGGACATTAATCTGAACTTTAAACATCACATTGAAGTTCTATCAAATACATTGAAATTCACTCTTGGCTTCCTTTACAGACTTAAATGTTGTTTTTCAACTTCATCCCATAGAAGGTTGGTCTCTGGCTTATTCCTGTCCCAGCTGGACTACGGTGATACAATTAATAGATTTGCCTGTCCCACTGTTTTGGCCAAACTTGACCCACTCTACCATGCTGCACTGCGTTATATATCAAATGCACCCTATAGGACTCATCATTGCAAACTGTATAGCCTAACTGGATGGTCCTCACTTACTATGCGTAGGATGCAGCATTGGTTTTTATTAATGTATAAAGCCATTGTAGGTAAGCTTCCACTGTACATATGTGCCAGATTTGCTCCAGTTTGTGACTCTTACAACCTCAGATCCAGTGCCTGGATACGGTTCCAGGTTCCTGCTGTGTGGACTGAGACTGGAAAAAGGAGTCTTTTTTATGATGGTCCTTGGTCTTGGAATGACCTTCAATCAAGCCTCAAACTGAGGGCACTTGTCATAGCCTGTTTTAAATTGAATGTGTCTGAGGTCCTTACCACCAGCTGCTCTTGCAGTAATAAGTAGTGCACCTTACTGTCCTAATGTGCACAATGTAGTGACTGCTTTTCGTCTTTTGTTTACTTAGTTGTGTTCTCTATATTTTATATGTCTGTGTTATGTGTAATGATGTGTAACGTCGCTGCCTTCTTGGCCAGGTCAGCATTGTAAATGAGATTTTATCTCAATGCTTTTATCTGGTTGAATAAAGGTTAAATAAATACAAAATTAAAAAAACCTTCCTCAGTATTACACAAAGCATGTATCCTTACAAAAAGGCTGAATGTGTTTTTTTAATATGGGGACCTTCTTAACAATATATGGCACCACTAGTGCTCGACCCACAGGAAGCAGCAGGTGCATGCACTGAATATATTTAAATGTTAAATATAATTAAATTCAACAACTTTGACATTGTTATGAATGCAAATATGTGTGCCATTTTAAATGAAAGGCACCATTCGACTTTGACCTTGGCTTTTAGCTGACTTAATAAGACTCTTGTGAGCAAACAGGAAACCACTTGAGCAGCTGAACCAATGTCCCCTTTAGTGTTTAGCACAATAGGCTGTCTTTCTTATCATTATTATTTTGCCGTGGCGTGATTACATTATGTATCTGATCTGATTAGTCAGAGATTTATCATACAAAGTGGAGGCCTCATAAATCCTAGGAGAGATCAGCATGTTTCTTGAAATGTCATCCTGTTTCTTCTTCAAAAAAGGAAAATCATATAAGGGATTTTTTTGGCACTCTAATATGTTCTTGTTTTGTCAGTGCCCTTTTGCAGGTTTAACCTCTCTTTATGCTAAGCCAATTTCCCATGACAGCGGCACACCTCCATGCTTTTTCCCAGATGCAGGAAATACTGTATGCTATTGTGCCAGAATGACTCCTCTATCAGAGCGCAATTTAAGAGCAAGTGCTGCTTTAAGCTATTGAACTTCCAGACGTGGCCAGGATTATTTTGGGTAATGAGTTTTGTTTAAGAAATGGCTTTTTATTTGTTGGTATATACAAAGTGTTCCAATCATTCCCTGCTGAATACCTGTTCTTACTCCTAAATCTGCGTTCCACTTCAGCAAATCTGTTGTGGAAATCCAAAAGAACATCTTGTACCCTCTTTTAAGTTCTCCCTCGGTGGTTCCACTTTTGAGTCATTCTCTCTCCCTGTCACTTTCTCTCCTTTTAGCTATGGAGGAGCTGGATGGAGACGAGGTGAGAGTGTCCTCAAGAGGACGGCTTGCGGAGAGAGACATTGTACAGGTACTCACCATAATTCTGTTTATCGTGGCAGGTTAGACCTGAGCATGTTTGTGTCAACAGCAGGAGTTATCCCTGCAGGAAGAAGGCTGGCATTCACAACAGACTCACACTGGGAACTGCCTCATGCAATATACAGTACCCAGCTATGGTGGGCTCTGGTGTTATTAGTACACACCACTCAAAAGTCCTTGGGCCAAGACTAAACCAAAGGGCTAAGTTTAACTCATTTAATCCCACATATTTGACATACATTGCATACATCATTACGTGGAGTGCAGCATGCAGCACATTTAAATATTTGAAATTCATATATTAAAATGTAACTTCTGTCAAAATGATATAAAGAAAACAATAGTACAACGCAAAAAAACTACTCTCCAACCTAAAACAAATGAAATTACAATGTAATTCACATTTTTCTCATTATATTGGACAGGTTTATCAAAATTGGCTGTAATAGTAGAAAATTAATATTAGCCCACATCATTCACTTACGTCAACAATGTAAAACACGTAACGTACGCACAGTGTGTAAGTCTGCAATAGACACTCATTTTAACCCAAGCCATGGTAGTATGATTTACCTTGACAAGTGGTTTTGTTTGAAGTCACTTTTACCACAATCCAGGACAAAAATAATTTCCACGTCAACTTCTGTCGTCCAGTATTTCATTTCACCAACACAGTTTAATAATATTGCTAAAAAGTACATTTTTTGCTGAAAAAAATGATGTTTTTGTCGGAAAACTAGCAAGACATTTACTTCCCCAGTCTGCTCTCAAAAGCTCTTTCACATCCATCATTAAAGTTAAATTCAACAAGAGTGACTCTCTTGTGACACACACACACACACACACACACACACACACACACACACACCACACAACACACACACACACACACACACACACACACACACACACACACACACACACACACACACACACACACACACACACACACACACACACACACACACACACACACACACACACACACACAAAAAGCCAGCTCTTTCTTCAAATTGTTTTGCTGTGAGTTTTCATAAGGAGCGAGCAGAAACCCCAGGACAACAGTGAATAGTAATTTTAGAAAAAGCCCGAGTTGAGAACACAAATACAATGGCCTGTGATAACAATGTCCTTTTGAATTCGTGTATACAGATGTAGCACCTCATTTCGGACACCCCTACCGACGTGGGGCCGTGATCGGCACGGGGTGGGCCCTCGCTGAAAGGAAAACTCCCCCGCATGACTTGATACGCCCCTTTGATAAATTATAATAAAACCAGCTGCAATGGATCATGGATCCACCAGGGGGAGCAGTGACTAAAAAGCTGCCACACTGGAACTCATGTGAAATAAACAGCTGATAGATATATCTGATATAGCGGATCTTCACGGATAGGATCATATTCTGTGCTAAATAAGAGACATGTAATCATTTACAAAACATCACCTTGTTTTTATTTAACAAAATAATGTTGTTTAATCCACGTTGGCATACTACAGCTACAAAAATAATCGGTTTGTTTTGTCATCAAGACATGCAGCCCGGCTCAAACAAACTATTTGAAATCATCATCCTCACGATCATTTAATGTATCATCTGTTCGCCGGATTGACATGAAAGCATTAACAAATATGAATTTGCTGTAGTCAACTTCATTAAAACTTTATTAACGTGCCTAAACTCAGTAATTCACAAAAAATAGGTTTATTTTTAATGGAGCCTCGTCGTCTCACAACAAGTGGGATTTATCTTGTATTCCTATACTCTACTGTAGTAGGAGAGGGAAAGTGGCAGAGCATAGGGTATAATGAAAAATTAGCACTTAGAAAGATAAATGCATAGTGTCTACTCGAGTTGATATCTAAGTATAACCAACATGTAATTCTAGCAGGTAGCAGAGGCTATTCACCATGTCTATTTCAACTGTGTCGATTTCAATTATAAGGCATGAGGGTATCATACAATTACTACACACTTCTAAGTTTCTGCTTTTGTTTTGCTACTCCTGACTCAGAAGTAACTTAGACATACAAACTGTTTTGTAAAACATCAATGCATTACAATAATGCAACAAACTGTGTGCATTTCACACCATCAGTAGTTTCCTACCTGAATGAATCCACCTCTTAATACCATCATTATGACGTCACAGCTATAGAAACCATTGATATTGTACAGAAACACGGTATAACAGGGCGTTCATCACAGACAGGTATATAATGTAGCGAGAATGAATGCCATCACTAAAGCAAGAAACCCAGATAACGTAATTCAACAACGCTCCTTTCACCGCAGCACTGCAATAGAGTTTGCAGTCCTCCTCGGAGACTGTGAGCGAAGGTACCGCTCGTAGTTAGTGAATCGAAAGTGGCGGACAAACCCTTTCCCCGGCTGCGACAGCTTCACCAAATCCATTTCTCCTCAGCTTTCAGTCATTGTGGGTTGAAAAAACTGCTTTAAAATCTAAACGGAAATATTTGACCTTGTGCAGATCGCCAAGGAAGCTACAGATTCCGTTGCTAGCAGGTCGCTACACATGCTAGTGTTTGCCAGCATTGCCAACTCGAAATCTGATTGTCAACGCAACAGTTTCATTGCCATTTATTTTAAGCTACAAGGCCCGCACAATTGATTCTGAAGGTCTTACGGCCCCTACACACGGCGGCGTGCGTTGCCACTTGGCGGTGGGCGTGTCTTGAGCTTGGGGAGTTTACGCGAGCAACGCGACCAACAACCAATCACATGAATCTCTCCTGTCAATTGCATAAAAGGTTTTACATGTCACACTTTACATGATGAACATTTATGACATTAATGTCTATGGTGCTATTTTACGCAACATTCCATGCTGGCTAAATACTGTCTATGTCTGCTAGCTGTCCATTCAAATGAAGTACACTGGATATAAACTCCCCAAACAGGCGAAAACCTACCAGTTTCACCCACTGTCTCTACCACCTCCCTCCATGCCTGGCTCCTCCGGTTTGTATCCCGGTAGGTGAACAGGGACTGATCATACAGCACCGGGTGATTCACTACCGCAATAATTATTTTCTCCTCCATTTTTTGACATATGAGGAAATGAACTGCGGTCTGGCTCTCCCAGCATACACGCGGTTTGATTGGCTAGCGCTTGTACTGGCAGATTTGCATAAACGGGATTTGATTGGCTGACGCCTCCGTCGAGGCTTCAAAAGTAGAACATTGCTCTACTTTTGCCGCGAGCACCGCGAGAAGAGCTACGCTTTGCTCCCACAATGCAGTTCGGCGAAGCGTGACATCACCCCATTCAAAGTGAATGGACAGAAGCGTTGAAGAGTCAACGCACGCCGCCGTGTGTAGGCTCCGTTAGGCAGATTCCTTTGACCCAGCAACACATTCTGACTTCAATATGATTGGATTTAAGCTCCAACATTGACAACCATTACTGAAGGCAGTGCAACACAGAGAAAAGCTATAAAATAAAGAGTATAAACTATTGAAAATATTTTAGTTCATGAAAAAAATGATATTAAAAGGTTAGTCACTGATTCTGATAGTGTTTAGGCCAGCAGAGAAGGCCTTGCTGACCCTGACGGCCCACCACTAGTAGACACATCACAGAGACACATAAAGCATCATGCAAACAAGGCAATGCACACAATGTGAAAATGAAAAGGAGTATGAAATAAACAGGCATAAACATTAAATATAAACTAAACTATCTTAAAATAGAATTAAAACATAATAAGTAAATATACAATGACAGTGAAATATATATATCTGAAGACTATCTGTCAAATATACACTAGGAAGGGCAAATTACAGCTAACAATTAGGATATTAACATTGAAAAACAAGTATTGATGCTGTATTGATAATGCCATCATATTTTCCATAATGTTAATCATAGTCCGGCCCCCACACTTAATTTCACCTATAGCAAAACTCATTGTTTGTAGTTTGTTTGCTCACAGTAATCCCTGGAATGCCTTTTACATTATTATGACATTCATTTTATAATGATTTTGCTTTGCCAAAAAAAAAGTGCAATCATTCAACGTTTCCATTTATTCTTGTTGTTTTTAATAACATATAATGTCTGCCTCCCCTGCATTGAAATTCCTGTTTAATATTAAAGTCATATAGAGTGGTGCAATGATAACGTATTTTTGCTGACCCAAAAGTTAGCATCACAAGTGCTCCCTCTGCAAAAAGCAATGGAATTTCCCCATTGGATTTCAGTATATTGCAGAAAATAAGATCTGTGTCCAACACACGTTTATGATTCAAGTTTTGTTCGGAAGGATGATCTCCATATTAACACAACTATGTGATTTTTGAAGCGTACATGCAAATGCCAGAAGTAAAATGCTAAAGTAATGGACTACATCACTCAGCTAAGCTAAAGGCGGCTAGTCTTAGGTTTGATTAAGTTTAAGCAACTTTTAACAGCTTCTGAGATTATATTCAGCTTGTGTTCACCACAGATCTTATTTCAGGCTTCTAACCACGCACAAAAAAAAGATTTACTTCAAAACAAGGCAACCGGTAGTGGAAATCTGAGTCATTTCTGGGTTTAAGGACTCATTCCTGTACTACTCTATTGCTCCCCTCAGACCTCTATAACAGAGAGTTGTTTTTAAATATGATCTTGTATTTAGTATCCAAAAAATAAGGGCTTTTACATAATGTGTTCAAATGTTGCGTCCTAGGTAATTGGTAAGTCTCGCATCACCTCCAACATGGCATATCTAAACTTTAAAAAAACATCATATTTTTAAATTAATATTCATCCATTAGGAAAAAAAGACTTTAAAATAATGTTATCAAGCCAATTGTAACTTAATAGTTGAAGAGGATTTGTTTCAGTTCAGTCTGTTCAAAAGATATTTTCACCTTGTTGTTGCCACTGGCATTAATGAACTAAAAATGTAAATAAAACCCCAAACTACAGCATGTGAGCAACATTACAAATGGACACAACGTGTGTCTGTACTGTCTCCCAT